GCCACTCCTCGGAAGGAAGATGGGGCAATCTACTTCCGTAGTGATACTGCCTCGGAAACCCAAGGAGGGGTCACTATGAGTCGGGTCTGACTCAACGGCAGTGCATATGAATCTTCTGTGATTTTTGTCTTATTTAGAGAAGCCTTCCCACCAGCAAAGGAGCTCTGGTGGTGCAGTGGTTAAAGCATTTGGCTGCTAACCAGAAGGTTGGTGGTTTGAACCCACCACCCACTCCACGGGAGAAAGCTGAGGCAGTTTGTTTCCTTAAAGATTTAGAGCCTTTGGAACCCTATGGAGCAGTTCTACAGGGTTGCTTTTAGTCAGGATTGACTCGATGACAGTGCATCTGGTGTGATTTTGGTTTTCCCCCCAATGAGATAATATAAAAATTATTTATTTCTCTAAAATTTTGTAGCTCTGATTGTCACAATTAAATATTTTACTTGTGTAGAATATTTTTTATGATATTGACTTAATGTTTTCTTCCAAACCTAGAGACACATGTCTTAACATCATTTATTGAACAGCCATTCTTTCAACTTTTATCTTATGGTAAATACCCATATATATGTAGAAATATTTTTGGAACTTTAATTGGATTCACTGATCAATTGTTTCTTATTATCATTCATTTTTTTTACAGTAACTTGAAAAAATTTTTTTAAAATATATATCTGGTAGAACAAATCTCTCCTAATTATTTTTCCCGCTAATCTAATAATTTTGGCTACTCTTATGTATACAGTTTTATCTGATTACTTAATGTAATAGCTATTCAATGTACAAAAAAATTGAAAATAAAGAAAAGGCAATGAGTAAATGGACTTTAAAATAAAACCAAAAGTAAAAACCACCCACAGTCCTCCCACCTCAGGTAGGCCTATTCTTTACATTTTGCTATAAACTTTGAGGTAGAGACGGCTGGTTGCATGCACTCCCTCATCCCCTTTACTAACATGCACTCCCTCATCCCCTTTACTAACACATTCCTGATTTGGATGTTGACA